TTTTGTACCCCGTTACTGATTTCTTGTTGGGTATGGACCATTAAAGCCCTCGGCATTGATCTATTGAGTGATTCTGTTGATCATTCCGTCCCGGCCCACCTCGTGTCATCCTGCGCTCGCCTTGCTTGTATAGTCATCAGTTATTTCCCGTCACTGAACCCTTCTTGGAAATAGGCAAGCAGGGCAAAGTTTGTGAGGGCTAATCTGCCTCTCCCTTCCGTCGGTATTGTTTTATTGACTTTTTTGACTTCTAGATGGTCGTTGCCCCACTCCCACCCACTCTGTCCTTTTGGTCATCTTTTTTGTACATACTGTCACTAGTCTTATCTCGAATTATGGGGGTCCATTTTTCGTTCGTAGAAAATATGGCACTGCTCCGGATGATCAACTAAATTTGTCGATCTCTCGACACTTATTTGCAATGAAAATTGTTGCAGATAAAGATTTCTTGAGATTCACATTTTTGGTGGAGAATTTAATATATTTCTTTATTTTATATAATTTTGAATATTTCCTTATAAGATCTGCTACAGCAACTGAGGTTATCTCTCTCGTTTATAAATCTTTTTTTATTCAAATTACCTTAACTCTGTCCTCAACCGTTCCTGTCCTGGAGAGCTTTCATCTATTTCAGACCTGATCAAGATGTCCGTACCGGAGCGAATCTTTTCAATATGGAGGTACATCTATTTAATTTTTCGGTTTATTAATTTTAATCTTCATTAGAATTGCCAGCTTCACGTTATCTACTGAGCTGTCTATTCCAATCTTTTCCTCTAGGTATCATCTTACAATACCGGTACGAATGAGGATTCTGTAAAGGTTCCCTCATGTGGGAAGTACTTCTGCCATTGTCATGTCCACTTCCAAAACTGCATCCGCTTTCCTGTCCCACAGACTTTATATCCTACCCCTTCCTTCTGAAGCTGACGCCATCTCAGGTAAACTATGCTGAGAATTTTCAACTTCTCTCTTGTTGTAACATCGGCGATTTCCCTTTTTCGTTATTGGAATTCTTCTGCCCTTCGAGACGACGATTACGTGGAAACGTTAGGTCGTTAATTAAATAAAGCCTCGAATAACAGAAAAATTTCAATGATGAAAAAGTTTGCTGAGACTTCTTGCGTTCGAAAGGGCCCTCCCTCACTGACTGCAGCACTTCCTTTCGTCTTTGTTCCAGAGATAGAGAGAGTTTGCATCCCACGATTCCTATTTACGGTCAAGAGCTTTCTATTCCACCTCATTTCTTCAATCAATGTGCTGTTAAGTTATATTCATTCCTGTTTGGGTCTTCCCATTTGAGCAGATTAGAATCCTTACATTGCCGGAATCGATGGTGAAGCCTATTTGAGAGCTCAGGAGCTGTTATCTACGCCAGGAATTTTCGGACTAAACTAGTGTCTCGTACGAAAGCAGAGAGATAATCCCAAGATTCATCAAGGAAAATGAGAACCTTTCTTCTAGGTGATTACTCTTTCGCCTTGGCAGTTGTTCATTAGAGTCTCGAGTTTTGAAGTATAAACCCCAGTAGCGCGAGAGTTTCCGATCCCAGGTGGATTTCAGTAGAGTTGCGGGAGAGTGAGAAGGTAACGGGATAGCCGTTTTCTTAAGGTTACCCACGTCAGCTCTATAGAAAGACGAAATATATTGGAGAAAAGTTTTCCTGCCAATGTCCTTGAAAGCTAAAATATGTTGAAACATACTACTGACTGTGAGTACTCTTGTTGACCGAGTCTCACGTCAAAGGTGGTACTTCAGTACCGGTACTACGCCTAACGGGTGTCCCCTCTTCCCCGTACTTCACATGAGGATCCTCTCCGTAATGACGACAAAGCTCGCGGGGCTTCTCAAATGTAATCTCAAGAGAATCCTTAGTTTCTATTACGTTATCAGAAGCAGATAGGATTACAGTAGTCACGTGAGACCCCGACTGGAATGGTGTCTAGGGTTATTTCTGTCGTTTATTCCAATGCACTTTACTATAAATAGCAGACTACTGATTGAGCTTTTCATACTGAAGAATTCCTTTCATAATTAGGGGATTCTGTGATATCCCAAATATCGGACTCGGTAATATCGATGATAGACGATTTCGTTGATATACTGCGAGTATACATGAGAAGGGTTATAAATGAATGTAGGCGATACTTACCCGTACCGAACACGATAACTCGTCCTGGTTTTCGTTGTTCGGTAAAGCCGAAGTCGACCAGTATTGATGCAACAGTCGAGACGACATTTGTGGCTGCTTCAGGAACAGTTATCCGGACAACTCTTTTCGAGTTTGAGAAATATCGTAGAAACGGCCGTGAAATAAGGTGATGTTGCTGGATCCGTTTCTGAAAAGAAGGAATTCATATAGATTCCCTAAAAGGGCCCGGAATTTTATGTAAAAGATTTTAGAGAAGCGGGTCTTTTGGGAGTTTTGGATAGGGTAGCCAGGAGCTGGGCTAAGGACCTCTCTCGAACGGTTCTTGAAGACTTGGCCATGTTAAGCATCTCGACTCTCGCTTTATCCTTACCCAGCTATCAAGCACATGTGTCTAATCAGTCTATGGCAAGCCCCCGTTGCCAGTATGTCCCGTCAGAGTGTTTTGCCTACCCAAAAGCTGATTAACGGCTGCTTGCGTCAGAATGTGGGCTATAAGCGGAACCTGAGTGGCTTAAGCCTTAAGCCATATATGGATTCCTGTGCAACTCGGATAAGTCCCAATCGGCTATTGATATGAAGCCGCGCGAGCCCACATCAGACGAAGACGGCAACGCGTTGGGTGATATTGATTGATAGATATAGATAGTTAGAGGTTGAAAGGTGAAGTAAGTATCGATCCCAGTATCACAACTTATGGTCAGGGGGAATTCGAACCCCCTGACCATAAGTTGTGATAGTGCGCCACTTGCCACTACACCACTTGCGCCCTATATATTACAATATACACGTGGCAGTACCAAATAAAAAGCAAGGATGGCTGTTATAGTCTTCTTCTCGTTAAGCCTATTAAGACAATTTTTGACCCGGATCAAAGTCCGAGCGTATCCCTCGTTTAGGGCACAACGCCAGATTTGTTGGAAAGGCTCTTGCTCCTCTGTTATCACTCTTTGTAGGCTGGAATTTTCGTTCGTTCGAAGAAACTTAGGACCAAAAAAGGCACTGAAATGGAATGTCCTTAGAGTACAAAAGAAGAATTTCTGGGAGTTAGCCATTCATGTCATTGTCTCATCAGGTTTGGGATTACTTGGATTAAGACTGAAGGTATAGCAAGATACTACAGTGAACTCGTATATTATGACGAGCGCATGGCCCGATTATAGCTCAAGATGAAGTGCATATGGAATCTGATAGGGTCTCAGGTACCAGAGACCGAGGCTGT